GATTGTTGTCTAGCAACGGAGGTCGGAGAGAACATATTCGGTGGGCAGCAGTCGTCAGAAAGATTGTTGTATGGTGGCAGAGGTTAGAAGGACCGTAGTCGACGGGCAACGGTGGTCGGAAAGATCATAGTCGGCGGGTGACAAAGGTTGGAAGGACTGTAGTCTTGCAATGAAGGTTAGAAGGACCGTAGTCGACGAGCGGTGGGGGTTAGAAAGATCGTAGTATGACGACGAAGGTCAGAAAGACCGTAGTATAACGACAAAAGTGAGAAGTATCATAGTCGGTGGGAGACAGTGGTCAGAAAGATCATTGTTTGGCGACTAAAGTCTAAAGGGCCATTGTCGGTGAGCAACGGAGGTCGGATAGCTCGTAGTTTAGCGATAGAGGTCGGAAGGACCATAATCAGCAAGCGATGAATGTTGGAAAGACCGTGGTCTAGCGACGGAGGTCGGGATGACCGTAGTCTAGCGACGGAGGTCGGAATGACCGTATTCGGCGGGTGATGGGGTCGAAAAGACCGTAGTCTAGCGAAGGAAGTTAGAATGACTGTAGTTTGGCAATAGAGGTAAAAACGACTATAGTTGGAGGGTGACAGTGGTAAGAATAACCGTTGTCTACTGACGGTGTTCAAAAGGATCATAGTCGATGAACGATATTGATCAAAAAGGCTGTTGTCTAGTGGCATAGGCCGGAAGTACTGTAGTCGATAAGAGATAGTTGTCAGAAAGACCGTTGTCTGATAATAGAGGTCGGAAGTACCATAGTCAATGAACGACGGGAGTCAGAAAAATCTTAATGTGACAAAAGTGGTGGGAATGATCGTAATCATTAGGCGATAGTGGTCTTAAGACAAAACTCAGACCCCGTTGCCCCTCTCTCGCGTGAGCAGAACCTGGCGGACCTCTTCTCCTCCTGCTCTCGGTTTCCTCTCATGCGAAGTAGCCGAGCTGAACCAGACCCGGACCTCCTCCCTCCCATCCGAGTCCCGCTAAAGCCCTCCCACCTCCCGTGGCTTTTCTCGGCACCCTTGACGGACCCCCTCCACCTACAAGTTTGCTGCTTCTCCATTCTCTTCCCCGTGCTCTTCTCTATCTCCCCTTCTTCCCTTCCACTTTTCTTCTGATAATTTCAATATGCTATCAACTAGCATAAGCATGAGGATGTATGATTGTAACCTTTTGTGAATCTTTGCACACCAACTATTTGATGGCATGTCACTAAGAGGAAGTTCTGATGATTTCATTTGTGTTATGATTTTATTTGACGCCTCTTTTATATAGAGGTATAAATTCATGAGTAGGATTCATTTATAAAAGAAAAATCTGAGATGAAAGTGATATTTAGCCTTCTCGATTAGTTATAATTTATGAAATTGATAGCTATATTTGATAATTTTGGTCAACCACCTTCTCAAATTTTGTGTGAATGTATTTAGGGGTTGTTTGGCAACAAGTGGGATATAATTTAATAGAATTTAGTAAATTCTGTAAATTCGAATTTAGTAAATATTTGATATGACAAATGTTAAATCCTGTTAAATTTTAAGAAACTATTTGGTAACATATTTTAGGATTTATAGCAGTTAGGAATTTAAATGTGAAGAAGATAATTATAAATTAAAAAATAATTTATAATTAAAAGTAAAAATTAATGTGTTATGAATTTAATAATATGTTAAGTACAAATCACACGTTAATTATTGTTTACAATATTAATTATATATTTAACATTTGGCTTTCATCTGCTCATTTCGCCGTAGCTGTTCGGCTTCGTTGCTTCGCAGTTGGTGTAGAGATTGCACGCGTTGCTTCTTCGGCTCCTTCGTGGCTGTTCGACTTCGCTCCTTCGACGACTTTCCCTTCCTGTCGGATCGGAATTTACGACATTTTGATCGGAAGCAACAACAGGAGCTCGCTGGCTGTGAAGGTAACTTTCTCCCTTTCGCTCGCTTCTTCGGCCAAACCCCATAAATCCGCCGAACCGAGGGATTTAGTAAATCCGGGATTAAAGCAGTAAATCCTTAAATCCGGGATTTACCCATCGCCGGGATTTAACGCGCGCACCAAAACCGTTTGGCTGGATTTAGCGTAAATCCGACCTAAATCCCGCTGTAAATCCGATATCAAACAGCCCTTAGTAGTGTGAGAGATTCATGTAGCTTTCATCCCTAACCGACGTGATGTCAGATGTAATTTTATTCGATTAATTTCTTCATAATCTAGATATCCGGGTGAATGTTTTAAAATGTAGTTCTTTTTGGACATTTAGAAAGATAGAATTTTAAGCATGATTTTCTTGCCGGTTTTACAGTCTTTCAATTAGTGGATTATACAACTTTATATGAATCAATGAAGTGATGGAAGTTTGATAGTTAATGACATGCTTGTCTTCTTTCCTATACATATACATGATAGTACTTCTCTTAATAATAAAATTGTGACAAGTAAGATACATGTTATAGATTGTTATAATATAGAAATCATTCTCCATAAATATTTCCATCACATATATGGAGTTTGTCTCGGGGTTTAATAAGTGATAGTGTAAATTATGACTACATTGAAAAGCCTCTATGCATACTTGTGTTTTGATATCGCATGCAAATTCAGTTTTGTGCATTTTCAATATGCAAATAAGTGGCTATGTTGGTTTTAGGTTTCATATCTATTTGTGGTATTTATCTTGTAACAATTCATATTAAAGTAAATGTTGTCGAAATTGGCAAAAGAAATTTAATGGAAGCGTGTTTGGGTTTTAAAGAGTTATAGGCTTGGTGATGTATTTATACACATTCTTAAACCTTGATATGTATATATGTTTGATATTATGTGTGGTAAATGATTATTAATTGTAATAGTTAACCCCGCATGCTTCCTATCACAATCTCAAACATGTATATAGGTATCATTCAAAAGATGCAGAGTTTATGTCTTGGGGTTTAATATGTAGAGTTTATGTTGCATAGGATTCTCGACCAAATGGAGGAGTGGAAAGCCAAGCTCATGCAAAATGAAGTGGTAATATTAATAGAGGAAGTATGTAAATATTGGATTTTATTCATAAAAGAAAAAAATAAAGAGGATACAAATGTAATTTTAAGTGAACCCATCATGATTACTAAGGAAAGCTTCTAAGCTATATAAAGGAAAAACCACCAAGCTGCTCTTCATATCTCATGAAGAAACTTACATTTTCATATAATAATACCATTTACAAAGATTACATGCTTTACAATATTAATGAAGAATCAAAAAGTGGATTGGCCCATTATTATAAAGGAGACTGGCCTTGTCTTGGAGAAATTATTACATCCGGTCAAAAACCGAACGGTCCGAATGTATACCGAGCAGTACCGAGTCCAAAATACCGAGTTTTAGGTGACGTGGCGCGTGGTTATTGGTCTCTGAACGCATTCGGACACTGGATGTAATAATTGCTCCTTGTCTTGATAGATACGAAGTGTAACTCATATCTTCTAGTTTTATAACTCTCAAGCTCTTGATTTATAACTCCCTACTCTCATATTCTTTTGTAATCTAGCTCTTGATTTATAGCTTTCTTTTTCTAGGTTTTGTGACGCCCAAATTCTTTTGCAACTTCTTAGCTATTAGTTTTTAACTTCATTCCTCCGAGTTTTGTAACTCTTAAATTATTATGTAACTCTCGAGCTCTTGATTTGTAACTTATCCATTATATGGTTAGAATAATGAATAAAATGATAATATTAAAATAACTATTTATTGTCCTGCATCAGTTATAATATTGGATTGATTATCTTGAGCATACAGTCTTGGGATCCTGATTTTCCTAAATCATGATCGCGATCAATATTTTAGCAATCCTAAGTTTTCTTTTAAGCATCTCCACAATCATGAGATGTGAATTAATGATATAATAGAACTCGGACCAACTTTTGAAGACTGAATACCCATTTAAGTCAAAGTTCTCTGAAGCAACGCGACTCATTTTGTTGAAAAAAATCATCTTCAAAAGGGAAATCCAACAAGTATTTTTTTGATTGGTGATGTGCATTGTAATTGCTATTAATCCCCAATTTCTTTGTTTTCATGTGTGATTTACTTGCTGTGAAAGTATGGATGGAGCTGGAATAGGCTTGGCCAGCGGGTAAATAGCTGAAGCAGCTTCTCCGTAGTTACTTCTAATTATTTTTTCAAGATTTCCTTGCACCTGCAGTGCAATGATCGAAACCTAAGTTTCAGAACTTTTCTGTGCATTGCTCAAATGTTTTGGCGTTTAGGTCCTGTCGCTGTATTCCCATCACTTTGGAGCTTCTGTGGCTATATGTATATAAACTTTTCCAAGCAGCTAAACTATTCCATCCAGCTATTTGTATATTTCATTGTCAATTCGGGTAGCATGGCATCTGAGATCCATTCCATTTTGTTTGCTTGAGCAAACTTAACAGTTATGATGTTTTATGTTCTCTTGCTATTTAATGTTATATAATTGTTCTTTTGTGTGGAGTTATTCAGTTTGACTTTGATGAGAGCTTTGAGAGGTTCATATCTTTTTATAGGATGCACACTTTTTTTTGGGATTTTTACATACATAACACCTAAAATTATTAAAAATACATATTCAACACCTAAACTTATATATTTACTAATATACCATCTAAAATCTCTCTTTCCTTCTATTCTACCACTCCATTTAAGCGATAAGATACTTGTATTCACTGTGAAAGGATGCCAGTGATGGGGAAGACAGTCGCTGATGGTGATTTTTGACGGAATGTTAGAATTGATTAAAAGAGGAGCTTTAGGTAGTATATTAGTAAATATAGGAATTTAGGTGTTAAATATGTATTTTCAATAGTTTTTGATGTTATGTATGTAAAAATCCTATTCTTTTTTAACACTTTTTGTATTAGTAAGTAAGGGAAGAACTTTTTTTGGAATGTTCAAACTCGTGATCGTGGATATCTCTTCAATTTGTTCTTTGGGCCAGGTTTCATCATTTACATTGCTTTTGATCGTTTATATTTATATCGTGCCTAGGATGGCAAAGAGGTGAAGCATACATGCTAAGGTTTTCCATGCTAGGGGTTTCTATCAGTACATTGTGAAAAGATGGCAAAAACTAGGGATCGAACAGAAGATTTCAAGGATGCTGTCCACACTTCGGCTGTTTCCTCAGGATACACTGAGGTGAGAGATTACTTATGAAACTGAGTTCTTTAAATGCTTACAACAAGCATTTTATGGTATGATTAGAAATGCAAGCGAGAATTAGCCGCTTAAATTTTCCACCTGACATGCTTTGTAGTAGTTGTATTAATTATCTTAGCTTATTATCTATTTCCTTAAAAAGATAGATGGCGATAATTATGTAGGACCATCTGAGTATTTTCCATTTTAAAATTAAAAATGATTATTATAGTTTTTCCGCCTTGTGCAAAGTTACATGTTTTGACTAATTTGCTTTGCAGTCCAAACTGGCTCCAGTCATGGCATCTTTCATCATGCGCAAACCTACACAGAGGTTGCCATTTACAAAAGCTTCACTAAAGACGGTATAGAATGCTGTCAGTCCTTCATCTCAATTCATTGTAAATCGCAATATGCAAGAAATGAAGGTAATACTGACAGTTGATACTTGCTCCTATTATAGCTTGAAAGCATAAACGAATTGGAGCATTTTATTGTAAGGCACCAAAAGGATTATTTGAATTTACATCGTACTACTGAACAAGAAAGGGACAACATCGAACATGAAGTGAGTCATCCACGCTACGGCCTCCTTTCCCCTCCCATCCCCCCTGTTTCTACGCATATATATTTTTATTCTTGACAGAGCAACCTGTATATTCTTTTTGGCTCTCAGGAAATCTTGCTTTTGGTGAATTCTCATGAACAAATTACTCAAAGTAAATTGTATTTTTTTTTCTAAAGAGAATAATGGATGCTTTACATTCAGGTCAGTGTTTTTGTTAAAGCAAGCAAGGAACAGATTGATATTCTAAAAAATAGGATTTATGATGAGGAGAAGCATGAAAATGCAACAAGATGGCTTCCCATTCTTAGTGATGGTTCCCATGCAGATGAGGTAGCTCACAAGCATGGTGTGGTATGAAATTACTAACTGACTACACAATTGTTTTTGTCTAGATTATCAGCTGTGGTGGGATATTTCAAGATTATTTTACATCTTTTGAAAGAAATTCTGTGTTGCTGAACTTTCTCATTTTCACATCAATTCCTTAATTGCAGGTTTTGATTTTAAGTGAACGACTTCATTCAGTTACTTCTAAGTTCGATCAACTTAGATCTATACGGATTCAAGATGCTATTAATAGAGCAACGCCGAGACGAAAGAAGCATTCATTTCCCACCACCAAATCACAAGAAGTGCTTAAATCTGATTTTACTGAGCCTGAAGGCCTGGAACTTTCTAGTGGGCCTATTAGAGTGCAGAATCAACTGCTTGACGATGAAACACTTGCACTTCAGGTTGTATCTTTTATATTGAGTAAAACCTTGTTCTTTACCAAATTACTTTCTTGTTATATGCATTATTATTTCTTCCAAATAACTTATCAGGTAGAGTTGACAAGTCTGTTGGATGCCGTACAAGAAACTGAAACTAAAATGGTTGAAATGTCAGCGCTGAATCATCTCATGTCGACTCACGTCTTGCAACAGGCTCAGCAAATTGAGCTTTTGTATGAGCAGGTCAGCTTCTCGTGAATCAAATTGATGCTGATTTTCTGAATTCTTTGATTCCCTGGTGTTCGAGAATATCTTGTAAAATTATATGCATTAGAAGTATTTATGATGCATTTTTTCTTCTCGGTATTTATTTTTGGAAATTAGGAATTGTCTAATTAATTAAATGCTCTTTAAGAATGTGATTTCTCATTATATGTTAGGAAAAGCTAGAAATTTATATTTTAATTGTTTTTTATTAGCTGTAGATCAAGGACAAAAAAAAGCAGACCGAATTCCGTTGTACATTACTCTTGTCATAGAAGGATAGTCAAACAATTTTCTTAGTCTAAGACCTTAAGTTCATTGTAGAGTGTAAGCACGAACTGTTGATGTCGTGATAACTTGGACCAAATCCATTGAAAATCAGCTTAATTCGAGGCAATTAGGATTTACCATTTTTTTCATTGTGGTTTCTTCCCTTATTTTCATTTTTCTTTCTCAATTTCTAGTTGACAGTAGCGTCACTAGAAAATAATATGTACGAGGCTGTTTTTATATGTCATATATTCTATTCTTCAGTTTTTAAATGAAGATTTTACTCAGTGTATTAGTGTTAGCACTCTTGAATTTTCATTGGACATACATTTGTTGGTCTAGGGTAAAGATTAGAGAGAGTCGCCTTAGATGATTTGGTCATATAAAACGATGGCATTTGGATGACCCAGTTAGGAAAGTAAATGTATTAGATTTTACTCATGTTAAGAGAGGTAGAGGTAGACCTAAAAAGATTTGGTTAAAAAATATTAGAAATGACATTTCTTTATTAGATTTAGTTGAGAATTTGACTCTTAACATGACACAATAGAGAAAAAAGATTCATGTAACTGAGCCCATATATTGAGATAAAGGCTTGTTGTTGTTTTTGTTGTATCCATTTGTTGGTCTAGGTACTTCTGAATTTTCTGATGACTATATTAGGAGAGTAAATGTATTAGATTCAACCTATATTAAGAAAGGCCTAAAAAGATTTGGTTAGAAAGTACTAAATTTTTTATTTTTATTAGATTTAAATGAAAATTCGACTCTTAATAAGACAATGGAGAAAAAGAATTCAAGTAGCCGACCCCATGTAATGGAATAAGTACTTGTTGTTGTTGGTCTTGGGCATCCATAAAATATTTGATCCGCGGATTGAAAATAATTTTTGTTTGGCATTTAGCATATGTTCAGTATATTTTTAAGCACGTTGCTTGATATTGAAGAGTTTTTACTTTGATAAAATAAAATTTAGGGGTTGTTTTGTCTGGTGACATTTACGATATCATGTTATATTGTTTAAAGATGATAATTATTTGATTTACTTGTATGCTCAAATAATATATAAAAAATGACAGTTATATCCTATTTTTATTTATATTAGATGGCAGCCAAATTGGCTGACATCTAATGTCATGATATTTGAAGAATTTTATTACAACATGAGTTTTTTTTTTATTATCCTATTAAGAGTCAAATTCTCATTTAAATATAATAAAAATAGGTCATTTTTAATACTTTTCTAACCAAGTCTTTTTAGGTGTATCTCGACCTTTTTTAACATAGGTCAAATTTAAGGCATTTGCACTCCTAATTGGGTCATCGGAAAGCTGACATTTTATATAATCAAACCATCTATACCGACTCTCTCTAGTCTTGTCTGCCACTAGAGCTACTCCATTCTTTTCATGTATATGCTCCTTTCATATTTTGTCTCTAACTATAAATCCACTCATCCACCTAAGCATCCTCATCTCTACACTACTTAATTTAATTTTTCGCTTCTCTTTTAATGGCCAACATTATACATCATAAAGCATTGTGGTCTCACCATCATCTTATGGAATTTTTTGTTAGTTCGAGGGGGTACGTTTCCGTCAGACAATAGGCTCAATGCATTCCTCTACTTCAACCATCCAACTTAAATTTTAATAATAATATTCTCATCTATTTGGCCATCACTTTGATCAATAGACCCAAGATATTTAAAACGTATAATAACTCCAACACTAAAGCAAAAAGACAGCCTTAAAGCTAATTCTTGATGTAATCCAATTGAAATAGAGAAATACTTGCTCAAACTACCTTTTGTTTGGACATAAGTAATAACTCTTGTTTTAATATAAATAAATTGACATCTCAATATGTTAAATACTGTCCCAGCCATCCAACCGGTCCTTACCTGTTGATGTTATGGCCAGCATGGGGATTTATGGGAGGCTCACCTAGATCACACTGATCTCCTTCCATATTATTGTGGCTGATTTAGGAAGGATTATATTCGGGCAATTAGGCATGATTCTGTCACTATTTATTTCTTTTTTAAGATATTTTTTTATAGATTTTTAAATAGGGCTAATTTTGTATAATAAATTTAAGCCTTTTTCCCTCTCCAATTCTCTAAATTTAAAATGGTATAAAAGCCTTCATTGTCTTTGCTGGAACTCTCAAATTATCTACTACCCGACCTTCCCTTCAGATACGAAAGGCAGCGGGTTCCAACTAGTTCATTTATGCATGTGTCCAACTGAGAGGAGGGAGAGTGCTTCATCCCGCGGTCTCTGCGTTCGATCGAGAGAGAAGAATGCCCCGTGACCCCCACTCGCATGCATGCAACCGAATGGGATGATAGAGGAGTGCGGCCAGAAAAATTTGCGCTTGTGTTTGGGGAGGAACCGAGCGGGATCTTGCATCCCTGAAGCTTGTCGCATGCAATAACCTCTTGCGTGCGTCTGGGGTGGAATTGAGCGGATCCAAGAAAGAGCTTATGTTTGTATGAGAGATCGTGTGAATGCACTGAACGAGAGACCATGCGTCTCGACCAAGCGGGTGCGTGCGTCTGGACAACTTTAGTCTCATTCCTTTGCCCCCCGAAATTTCTTGTGTCCGCTACTTTTGCGTCAAATCCTGCCAGCATGGATCCCACAACAGGCTCCCACCCCGCCGTTGATGCCATTATAAACCATTCCAGCAGGTCTTTCGCCGCCGCATCCAACCACGGATGACAGAAGATAACTTACGCCAAGCACCACCCCCACCACCAGGGATCAGCTGTCAAATGGTATCTCCCCTATCGAGCGCCCCAACTTATTCACATCGGTTGAGTAGAAAGCACAAGGACACCGCCGTGCCATTGAATATGTTGCCATTGCCGCCTCTGAGTTGAGATCACCAACTGCTACGGCTTCTTCCGATTAGGATGAGGATGATGGAGAAGCCAATGGAGTGGGATGGGATAAAGGGGAAATGGTGGTAAAGAAGGTCCAAGAGGCTGCTTCTTAGATTGACGCATCAAATCTACCTTGCAGAGGTTTTGGTTTCCTATAAGTCGCAAATCTACCTTGCAGAGGTGTTGGTTTCCTATAAGTCGCAGTATGATATTCAGGTGATGCGATTCATAGGCTATGTTGGGCGAGCATTTTTCGGTGGTAGTGCCTTGCAATTCCCTTAGACGAAGATGTTCAAGGAATCGCCTATTGCTAAAATAATTAAAATCACTATATGTCATATTTCACTTCAGAACCAGTTTTACATGACTTCGGTTGATTGGATTGCTGCAAAATCACCCCAGGCTCTTGTTCATTTTGTTTTGTTGAGTAAGCTTTCTCTTGTGAAACTGCTATAATTTGACTTAGTGCTGTGTTTCAATGAGTAAATCATTTTTATTGAATGTATTGTTTGGTAGATCATCATAATCATTATAATCGTGAGTTATATTCCAATTATTTTGGGTGATTGCTTGGTGTATCATTTCACCAACTTCAAATGTGAAATGAAGTTATTTATAGTTGTATATATTTTAAGCTTGTTTTTTAAAGTTGAGTGTTAAACCATAAACTTTTTGAGAGATTAATATACATATCACAAAATGTATTTATATATCTAACATTTAAATTATTATATTTACTATATAATATTTTACTATCTCAATGACATTAAAATATATGCATGAAAATGTGTATTTTATCTTTTTAAATTGCTATTAGTAATATTTTTAATATAATTTAAAGATTTCAATGTTATATAAGTAAATGTGAAGATTTAGTTGTTAGATGTAGAAATAAAATTCCCATCTTAGCTTGTTGGTTATGGCTTTGGCTTCCAACCAAGTGATTTTAGGTTCGAGACTTGCATATGCTGTGCGTAAGTTTGCGATTTAAGTCATTCAATATACATAAATATCTATAAGAATTTTGTGATATATATATTTATATATCGCTTTAAGAAGACAATCTTGATTAAAACCCCAAATCCTATTCTAATCATATTTTACTCATTTACTAAACTACTCAGTATCAATTGTGTGTTCTTATTTGCTCACCAAGTTTTTTTTTATTAAAGTTTTGAATTTTAAGGATTTGGTGATAATCTGAAATCATAATTTCTCATTCCTTTCATTTAGTAACTGCTTGCTTTTTGCTTTCAGGCGGTGGAAGCAACAAAGAATGTATGTGGAGTGGGCAACAAGGAGCCGACCCAGGCCAATACAACGCAACCTATGCAAGCAAGCAGAAACCTTTCCTATATACTCTTCCACTTTTTGTGTCTATCTTTCTTTCCGTTTCGTCTATACCGTCCGACTGGTAATAGCTGACATTTTCGTCTATAATTCTTCTTCTTGCTTCTCTAAGCTTAGAGAAATATGCGCTTGAAAACGCCATTATTCTATTAAAATGTTGGCAGAACCTGTAAATATTTATTTATATACAAGAGTAAATTTTGTTACTTTTGATTTCTTTTCTTTCTTTTCTTTTCAATTTGTCTATGGGGTTTTTTGTGACTGAGCTTAATCATCATGGTGGAAGAATATGTTGAATTTAGATATTTTTTAGTTGGTTGAAAGCAGATTTGATTTCTTTTTGAAGTGAGAACTCTTTTTGAGACTTCAGGCTTGTTTATTAGCTCTTGGGCTAGACATTGTAGAATGCAGAAGATGTTTTAAGTGGTATGAGATGCAGTCTATCTGGTCGTTGCTGGTTAATGAGCTTTGGCTATCAATTAAAAGATTTGAGTTCGATGTCTTGCGTATATGATGTATGTGTGAAATTTTATCTTTAATTAATTTAAAATTATTCAAAAAAAAGTATGGGATTATAGTAAATTAATACCTCAATTCTGGAATTGGTTTTATATGTTTGGAAGAGACTTTAGGCATTTGAAAAAGTTACAAGTTTTTAATATGATTGTTATGATTGTGGTTAGCATCTATCTTATGTTTGCTTGTTTTTTTTTTATTTTTCTATATTTTTATGTGGAATTTCTATATAGATCTAATTGTTTTTTATTTTTTATGAAAAATATATTTGATTTGTTTTTTTTTTTTGTGTTTTTTTAATTTTATTTTAAAAAATAAATCAAATCAAATTACAATTGCATAATAATCTTTAAGTATTTTTTTGGGTGTCTTCTTTTTAATTCTTTCGATGTATGAAAATTCATTAGCCACTATCACCATCCAACCCCGCTACTAATTGATGTTCCTTATCATCAATATCTTGTCCAATTATTTAAAAAATAAAAAATAATATGTTTATTTAATATATGCAAAATATGTATTTTTTTTAATTAAAGCTTATAATAAATAAACTTTAAAATAAAAAAACAAAATTAAAAAGTGATCTGCTATCTACATAAAGTATTATATAAATAAAGGCCTAATTAAAAAATAAGTAATTGATTAAATTTGAGTTTTTTTTAGTTTGAAGTCATAGTCTAATAAGCTATATGATGCAACGTTTTTGAAATCGGACCGGACTAGCCGTTCAACCAGTACCCGGCTGGCCGGTTCGGTTTTCCACTGAATCGAGTAGCAAAGGACCGATTGAACCGGTCCGACCGGTCGGTGGGACCGTGAAATCGGTGAACCGGAAAACCGGGAAGAGAACCGGCGGACTTACAGCTTAAATGCAATTTCCAGCCGTTTGACTGAAATCAATCGGTATTTGAGTATTATAACATGTAAAAGTGTAAAACAGGAAAAGTGTAAACCTAGTTTATTTCTAACTGCTCCCGTAACTGTTGGAAGCCGCCTCTCCTCCAATTTTCTTCCTTCGTTCTTTCGTTGTTGCAGGCTCCTCCTTCGTTCCCGTGCTTGGATCCTTGGCGAACTGCCCGGCCAGTAATCAACGCTGCAACTCCTCCAGTTAAGCTTAATCGTCCGTTGGCTTCGCTTGCACCCTCCTCCTTCGTCGATGCTTGAATCATTGTAAGGTGAGGAGATTTCTAAGGCTTAAAGTCATCTAATGGTTGCGTTGAACATTTAACTCGTGTTTTATTCTTACCTGTGCAAACTGCAAACTCGAAAATTCTTTGATAAAATCTTGTGGCACACATGGGCTGTTTTGCTTTTTTTTTTTTAAAACAAATGGATCAACAAAACTTAAAGAAGAAATTTTGTTTGGTGCTTCTAACTTTTGAGAAGGGTGAGCATCAGAGTGATGGGATCATAGTCCTTTCTCCATTTATATCTTAAAAATATTTTTTTAAAACTATTCACAATCATCGAAAAATGGTAAGTCCAGTTTGTTATGTCTCTATTATTAAGTTAGAAACAGGCCACTGAGTCTTTCTCCTTCTGGAGGAGCATCGTTTACCTGGCAAGAAGGGGAGAGATCCAAAACGAAGTAGAACGCGATCAATGGATATATTAAACATTCAAATTTATGGTTAGAGCTCCGATTCCTTGGAAATTTTGTATGTTTTTTCGTAAGTTCATATATGGAAAAAGAGAGGAATTTTCTTTTAATTTTTATTATGAGAATAATTTAGTTTCTTAGCTAGAATTACGTTTGAATAACTTTTAATTGCTTCTTGAGAATTGATGATCAAAATCATGCATTAATATGATCAAAAGTGATTAGCTGATCTTTGAATAGCAATAACAACGCCGCAAATATCTCCCAAAGTTTTTTGAGAAGTTTAGATCTTTGTTTTTTCCTCTAACAAATTGGCATATGCTTTTGAATTTGTTTTCAAGCATAATCCTTGTCTTCATAGATGTTATTATACTGAAAAATCAAAAGAAGATTTACACGCTTTTTGTTTTGTCTCTATTCAGCCGTTTCTTGTCTCAATATGACATGTTTATTAGGTGTGACTAACCTTATTCTGTAACTGTAGTTGTGGTATTATATGCACAGAAAGTGTTAGGTTGGACCAAACACCATTTTGTGCTCTACATTGAATGATTATATAATTCATAGTTTATTACACCAACTGTTTCTTAAAATTAGCAGTTCTTTGTTGTTTGTTTTATTTATTTCTTTCTCCAATTAAGGAGGTTAGATAACCTGTTGGTGTTTAGTTTGTTCCATTGTTGTTTAATATTGACAACATAAGGTTTATTTTTCAGGCTAATATTGATCAATTGTTTATTTAATATTACCAATGGATCAACAAAACATCAAAATCTGGCACATTCAAACTCAAAGCGTTTCCGTGAGAAGTAGATATCGCTTGGACCATTTTATTGAGTGTTAAAATCATGTGGATAGGAAACAATACAAATGTTCTTCAATTGTGGAATAATTTATAAGAGAGGAGGCATTC